GCCCAACTAAAGGGGGGGAGGGGGGAAGAAAAAGGCAAACCGACAACAACAGAATTCTTAGCAATCAAAGATTACAGGTGACAATTCAGATAGATAGCAGTTTAAGTTTTGTACACCCACTGCATGCACATTATGATTGGGTCAAGGTAACATGCAATACAAAGCAGAAGTCTCTGCAATTAGAATGTAAATTAATCATGAAAAAACATGTGCTTTATAACCACGTTTCACGTTTAGATACTTGCTTCTAAGACATTTCCATTCACTTAAGTTATCTACCTCCGCTAGAGATCCGAGCCCTGTACCTAAATGAGTTATCCCATTAAATATTGCTTAAGAGCACAAGCACAGCCATTAAGGTCTTATTGCTGGGAAGTTCCCATAATGTTTCTGCCTACACTGATGAATAGTAGCTAGTACCTTGGAAATTCAAGCTGTCTAGTAATCCATTATCACCTCAATTATTGAGGGATTAGTGCAGTGCTGCCCACTATTTGATAGTTATAATTACACTCCCTGCATTGATTTTTTCCTAACTGTGTCCCAGCATACAGACTCTTTCATTATACTACAGACATGGTCAAGAAACTGAAACAGCCAGCTAAGCTGATTAATTTTGTTTCCTCCGTAGGCAGCCTGCTGAAACATGCCTGTAAAGCTTAGCCAAAGCAGGCAAGAAAGTGAGTAGTAAAAGGACAAGCATTTTATGCTGTGGTAAAAGAAAATATTAGAGCGCATCTCCAAGCTGAGCTTGGGGATTCGTTTGTCAATGAATACGCAATTCATGTACTCCAAACAGGCTGTGACCAAAGCAAGCAAAACTGAAGGCCACCTTAGGTATTACTGACTGGAACAGTTGCTGGCTCCGATCGTAAACAGAGCAAGTCGTTTCCTATTCTGTCCATCTGCACGGATGAGAGTAGTCATAAACTAAAGTTCAGAGACAGGAACAGCTGTCTCAGTACTACGCTGCATGATGCAATTCTGCTATCATCTGGGTCCTCCTCGGGGGTCAAAAAGGCTTAGGAGAAAGCGTAATGTCAGATTACCCCACATTCTGTATTAAATACAGAATGGACTCCTGAATCAGCATTTTAGGCCTCGCTATTTAGGGAAGGAATTAAACCCATTTATACTCCACGCTATATAGCTATATAATGAACTACAGTAATGTAAGTATGGAAGATAACTAAACATTCATTTTTTGTCATGTTTTCACATCCTCTTCCCTTGTTCCGACAGTGGTCTTTTCTTCCTAGCAGCCAAACAAGCAATTAGTAGTGCTTATTTGGCTATTTCCAGTTTTAAGTCCACAGAAGTAGCTTAATTTGCTTAGAGCAAGGCACTAAGATGCTAATTTAATATATGTATAACTAGAGGATGCAAGTATTGCCACCTATTCACCTAGAACATCTCAGCCCTAATTCCTACCTTAGTGTCTTAGTCCCTCCCACTTTCTTCCAACATCCCAGTCCCTCCTTCTCAAATCTTGAGTGAATGTTTCAGGGCTGTGAACTCTATTCACTTAAGAGAAAAGGCAAGCTTACTGCTCTACTGATATCCTTCCTCCAGAGTAGCCCTCTTCCACCTGTTTTACACCAAATGAGAATTAAGTGAGGATTGACCTCTTGGGCTGACCGAGTTCGTTTTTTATGTGTGCGTATATAAAAATCCATTATGCAGCTCAAAAAGTTAGTAGAATGATACTTAGTCGGAGTAGTGTTACCAATTCCATGTTTTTCAAAGCAAAAATCTCACAAGATTAGCAAAAGTTGGATTCTGTATGGTACAAAAGTCAGTTCCTACTAGAAGAAAGTAGGAAAAAGTAGAAAATAAGTAGAAAGTAGCAGAAGATAGCAGAGTAAGACAGGATGCAAGCATGAGAGGGACTTTGTCATGAAGTGCAGTCATCTGCTCTTCCAGCCAAGTACACAGAGTTCCTATTTTTCATCAATAAACAGAGCTCATTAAGTTAAATTTGTCCTGGAAGCATTTTAGAGCATCATTTCTTTGAGCCTTAGCATGACATGCCTTTCTCAAAAGCACTATCTAGCCTTCTGGTGTTTAGGAACTTTTCCTTTGTGGACTTCAGTTTGCTGTGAGCTGTAGAAGCAGCTTCTGAGAACGCGCAGACATGGAATTTTCCAAACTCACTAAAGTGGAACAGAATCAAGACATGCTCCTGGAGGAGTGAACACCAAACTATGAACAGTTACCCTGGATTTCAGAGATACAGACTTGCATTTTATGAATTAGTACAACTCCCTTTATAAAACGTATGCGTAAATGCATCTGTACTTTCAACAGGCTGTAAGAATGCTTTTGGATGTCCTGGAATACCACTGGTTAATGCATTATATAGCCTGACTTTACAGAGCAGTAAAGGCCGTTTCGTCCCTCGTCCTGAGCAGAAAAATAAAAAAAAATCAGTGGCTTATTGCTGATCCTCTTGGCTTCGCACGGAATGCCAGAACCATATACATACACCTTTCTGGTTGCCTGTAGAGGTCTGTGTAGTAAATTTTAACATGTAGATAAGTTTCATATGTTTTCATGCCATCTTTTACACAGTTTATCCTAATAGTGTAGAGTGGATTTTAGAGTTAAGTTTCCATCTGCCAAAGGACAGTAACGTAACTCAGATCCCTGAAATGGCAGCAAACTATCACGTGCTACACAGAGATTCATCATAAAGCCATGGGCCGTAAGGTGGAGCTGTTTCTACATGAATCCACATATCTGACTCTCTAGAAAAGACTGTTTATTTCATAAAGGGTTCCATGATAAAAACAGTACTGCTCAACTAGAATCTTGCCTCTGGAAACGAGTAGTTCTGCAGTCTTCCTCTTTAAAGGCTGCATAATCACTCTGTACTAATGAAAAAGCATTTAAAAGACAACAGCAAAAAACAATTAAAACTCTTTACCATTAGGAAATCATTTCAGATATGCAGCATTAACTCATTACGCTGTGTTATATAATAAGGAAGCTTTACTAATAACATAGTGCTGCTGTATTGTTGTAATGGAGCTAATATTACCTCACCCACCTGAAGCACTAAGCCATCTTTGGCAAGATTATATTCACACCAGCAAAACAGGCTTTGGGAAAGCCTGGTTCTTCCGTTCTGTAGAAGAAGTAGAGTCGCTGTTTTCTGAGAAACACTTGCATTAAAGATGTATAATTTGAGGATTCTGGACATTTGAGAATGTTTTAGTCTTCTAACAGATGTCTCGTTTAAGCCAGTTGGCCAGGCTCACTCTCTTTCTCTCCTCAGTGGAGAGAAATGTAGACTGAGTAATATATACGTGTTGACTCCCTTTCCTTTGTCCATAAAGGGAGCTTTCACAGCTAGCTTATAGGAGGCATCTAATTTTTGATGACTAACTAATGTAAGGTGAGAAGAATCTCACTTGTTACAGTTATAAATTGTCATTCCAGGTTACTAGACAGCTGAGATACTGGAAGCAGCATCATGCCATTACAGAACTTACCTTAGGAGCATGGTAGACCACTCCTTTCACGCTTCTCAGCATTTTTTTCTGCAGGGATAGAAGTGGATTTTGTGTTTGTTTTTTATTATTCTTAGTTATTGTTGAATATAGCTCATCCTAGAGGAAACTCATTCCTCCCCAAAGACCTTAAAGTCTAGGCAGACAAATAACAACTCAGACAAACTATCAGAATGGTCTGCAGCAATACAATTGACTACTAGTAAACAGCATCAGTTGCCTAACAAAAAAAATATTCCCACTAGATATGTTGCTTTTTTTTTCTCCTTTGGAGAGACATTTACAAAAAGCATAATTGATAAGCAAAGATCTTTTATTCCATCTAGTGAGGAGGGCGTTTATCTTGCCCCACCTATTAAAGACATAAGAGCAAGGGTTACAAAGCGATTGCTTCGAAGAAACTGGAATCCCAGAGAATAATGATGTTTCCCTGTTTTTAGCTTCATCTTGATCATGTGTTAGTATCTACTGCTCAGACATCTTTGATTATGACAGGGGGGGAAAATCAAAACATTCAAGCAATTGTGATGCAAGAATTATGGCAAAAAACGTAAGCAGATTAGTTAAATGTCATCTATGCTGGCATGCAATGCCTTCTTACCACTTTGCTACGAGAAAAATAATGACAATACCCAACAAAGAGGTTTTGAAAAATTCTTGGTTGTGATAAGTTACATAATACATTCAAAGCAAGATAATTACCTGGTAATTCCTTATTATAGCCACCTTTGTGGAATCGGTTACTTCTGATCTTCCAGGGGTTAACTGCACTGCCAATGCTAAGCAAGGAAAAGATGATTTAACTGGATAGAATCACATTTACCACGGTTACCACATAGAGCGGGAAAATAACCCCACACTGAAGGATATTAGTTTTGCAAAGATACCTTACAGTCTTACATCTAACAATCAATGCACAATACATATTTAAAACATTTTTTTAAAACTATTTTACTTTGCAGCGCTAGCATATACAACAGAAGGGATAAATTCTGTTTCTCATAGAAATGTATCCAGTTTGTTTCAAGTCACAGTTTTAACACTAAATAAAGTACAGATGTGAAAGCTTTCCCAAACACAACTGGTAAAATGAAGGAATTGCAAGAACCTAAAAGTTTCTGTCTATTTTGAGGATCCCTAATGTTCTGACAGAATTCTTGAATGACTAATACAAGTTGTAAGGGCTCTTCTCCAGGGTTTCTCTCTCCAGGAGAGAGGAACTTCTGCAGAAAAACAGATTATGACGACGGCCACTTCACACACTTGTGCCTGGATCAAGCTGAAGAACTAGTCCAACTCAGCGTACGGTTCTGTTACAGAAAAAGTACGTGTTTGCTTCCCTTTGGAAGAGAGCTTTTAGATTTGAGTCTAATTTGCTAGCCAGAACTATGGAAAGAACTCTGCAAGTTATATTTGCAGCCATCGTGAAGTAATCCTAAGCTGGTGTCTCTCCAGAGTGATGTGCAAACAAATTTCTGGTTGCTTGATACCTTTATTTTTGCTACTGGCTCCAAGAGCCTTTATCAGAAGTGATGGTTAGAAGCAACTTTGGCATCACCACAGCGAGTTCTCCCGGCGCCGCTGCAACCTCCACTGCAAATCCGCATGCCTAGTCCTCTTCTACCGACCTATTTCCCCATCCCTTCTCCCGTGTACTTCCGCTATATTCCTTCCCCCCCGCCCCCCGCGCCTACATAGATAACAAAGAGGCGCAAAAATACGTTAATCCCCCCCCGATCCAGACACGGCGGCCGCGAGAGGAAACGGGAAGCGCCTAACGCCCGCTCCCAAAACCTTGGGCGGGGAACTGAAGGGGAGCG